CAGATATCACATGGAATGTTCTAAAGCATGCTCAGAGCTATAAATGCACATACCTCTGGACAGCTATAGTCAACTGGAACATGACTTGGTTAGGGATGTTTCTTTAAGAGGTTGGGTGGAAAGCAGGAGACTATCTGGCATAGATACACTGCTCTTAGTACTTAACATTATGTTGGCACAGCTTGTGACTTCCTTTTTTTCTTAATGACTACATTCAATCCCAACACAACCAGTGAGAAACCTACATTTCAAATAATTTTTAAAAAATATTCTTCCTTTGTTCTTGTTGCCCAAGTCCTTCAAAGGGACCTCCAACTACATGTGCACATTGTGGTCTTAGTGTGGCTGAAAACATTTGTTTCAAAGTTGTATTAACTTCAAATGTCATGTCCCAAGGACTTCTAACCCTGCCAGCTGTGTTTTCATTTTTTGGAACTCTATAGTCTGAGACCTGCAGTGTGACCTTGTAGTCTCCTTATGGGCTTTTCATTGCGGAGGTGGTGTAGGACTCTCAGCATGATGTTGATGAGGGAGCTAACTGATGTAAAGGGACATAGGATGTGGTGTTCCTGTTTGTAAGGGAAGGGCTAGTAGACCAAAGGGGAAATGGGAAGGTGGCAAGCAAAACACGGCAGTTTAATTCAAAGCATCCACTTATATAATAAAAAGTAATGAGAGAAGAACTTAGATATTTTTGAGAGTAGCTTCTGATTCCAATTGCTGTATTTACTCAGGAGGCATTTCTAACCTCAAATTGCCTCTCAGGGACAACTCACGTACATGGGAAGCTATGAAGAGTTCACTAGTAGTTTACTCCATCAGAGAGTGAAAACATCACTGGTGTTTGGAGAGCAGCTCCAGCGTAGGGATCAGTCCTAGAAATGGAGCTTCCTGCCTAATCCCACATAGGATGGCCAGAAATACAACTGTGGAAGCCTAGTGAATTGTGGTCCCAAGGACTAGACTTTGGCTCTCTAGCATGTCACTTTGGACGGGAGCTCCTGGGCCCATCGAAAATAACACAAATCCTGGCTGGTTTGGTGGAGGTTGTTGTATTTTGGGTTTACCCTCCCCCCCCCCCCCGTTGTTCCAAGCAGAACTATGTCTAGTAGAATCAGAATTCAGAAAAACCTTTTTGCTGAGAATCCTAACCCCAAATAGTAGGTGGCTCTCTTTCAACATCCAGTTATCCATAGCAGTCAGTAACAATGCTCCCAAGAAGCAAACACACTTAAGTGCAAGGACAAAAGATATCATTTATTCAAGGGTAAACACCTAATTAGTATAAACTGGCAGCTGTAATGACACTGCCAAACTCAGGAACACCTTGATTTCCACCACCCCAGTGTTTTCCAGGACCCAGTGAAATCAAAATTTCCTAGACTTCTGCAGGAGAGCAAAAAGAATGCATGCAGTCCAGATTACCTCTGTTAATGTAGCTGCCCATAAAGCCACGTTCTGCTGGGGAAGGCTGGTGGTGAACACAGTAGTGTTCATTCACCCAAATCACTGTTCATTTCGGGAACAGGTTTCTGGCTGCTGCTGAAGTCTGAAGTGCTTGCTGTGGTAAGACTGGAAGACAGGGAGGGACTGAAAGAATGAAATACCAGGGGACCCAGCAAAATCAGCTTATCACTGGGTGGCTGCAGGGCAGTAGAGGATCAGCATAAGCCTCTAACACATGCTAGAGGAAACATGTGCAGAAGGAAGTGACTTCCAGTCAGGCTGCCTGTTAACCCAAGGGAACAGTGCTCTACTGCTATTGACTAAATTGATTTTTACAGCAGCACTCTAAAAGCAGTTTGATAGAGGCAGTAACAAACACATTGTTTGCTATTTCTACGATTTAAAAACACACCAACCCAACATTGACTAAATAGGCATTTGTGGTATACAGTGGAGAATTAACATGTCGTCAAGGGTGGGAAGAAATAAACCAAACCAACCCAGAGTTTTGTTTTCTTAAGTGATCATGAGCGCCTCAGTGCAATTGCTCACTTTTTCTTTCCATCAGAAAAGCTACACCTAGTATTTCAGGCTGCTACAGGTGCCACTGCTCAGCACACCCACCAAAGCTTCACACAAAGCTGGAAGAACCCCACATTTCCTCCTTTTTCAGTTTCCTCATATGCAAGGTTAAAAAAACCTTGCATGTTCTTACATAATATAAACATGTTTAACTCCATCAGACTCACTGAGGACACATTACCTGAGAAACAAGCAGAAATGAGGTGGGCTCTCACTTTCCTGCTAGGGCCCTGAAACTCCTGTAGATAACTACTTAAGTCTTTATATCATCCTCTAGACTTGCTGTAAAGCATTTAGTATCATCCAATTCTTTAACATTTTTATTAAGGTGCTAAATATTTTTAGGTCTTTAATGCGATCTCCAAAGCTTTGATGCTTTTATAGTTGACACTACACAAAATTAAAGTTGTACATTCAACCTCTTATCATATACATGTCCTGTTTGAACCAGCTCCTTTGTAGGATTTGCCATCCAATTTGGAAAATTATTTTGCTCACACACTTCAGCAAGCCTGCAAATTAAAGGCCAGCCCAGCCTGCTGCCTCCATTGGGACAGGCCTGTGATTCGAAGAATTGCACAAGCTTAACCTAATGCTTTTATAAGCAAAGTGAGGGATTTTAAATAATTTTACACTAGACCAGTTTCACCTCTGTATACTAACCTTATTTCTCAAATTCAATCTGAAGATCTTTTGCACAAGGGGGAAAAATAAGGGCACTTCTGGAGGATGTCAGAAAGCATACTGTGGGACTTTCACTGCAACAATAGGCCCAGGAAACACTGGAATTCCCACTGCACCACAGGGATTTCAGAGACCTGAAAGAAGAACTCACTAACCCCTTCCTTCAATGCTGTAGAAACTGTATCCTTCAAATACAGCAACTGGAGCCCAAAGGATTGCAGTGGCTAAGGGTCATGCTTTCCTCCTTCATTCCTTTCCCCCATTCCAGCCTGCCAGGTTTTCCCCTTCTCTGTAAAAGGAGGACATGCCATCTTCACTGCTTCCTTTCTCCCCCTGCATTATCAATGTTGATGAAGCAGCTTACAGAGCCAATTATGGGCTAAACTGGGCAGAAAAATGCCTCTCATATTCTGCAAGCCTGCAGGAAGTGTTCCCTGAAATGGAAAGGCAAAAAAAGAGCAAGGCAGCAACTGCAGGATAACACATCTTTGGACAGACGACTTCAGTGTATCTAACTTGCACAGTGCAAGGTTGTTTTACAACAGCTCTTGTTACTCTGTCTCTCTTGGTTATGCACTCAACAGCTCAATTATGCATTTCTTAAGTTTTAATTCTGCAAAACTCTCAACCTCAGTAAGGCCCTGTAGCAAATGAAATAGCTCATGTGCTAGTGTTGGCTCTTCTCACTTTTGCTGCCATTGGTCATTTGCTTCAATGCTCTTTTTAGTGACTATCAAGCTGACCTGAAGGTCCTATGAGTGCTGAGTGAAGACAGGATAATTTTTCTATGGTATCGTACAGTAAAAGGTCACCTTTTGCAGGAAGAAGCAGATTGCTGCACCCAGTAAAACTGCTAGAATTATTTTACAATCCACAAATTTGATCAAAACCCAAGTTTTGCATAAGCTCACTGTACACAGAGCTGAGACACCACAATTGGCTACTGAAAAAAATCTTTGTGGTGAACACTAAGTAATAAGGAACAGCATTCAATACCTCATCACTTTCGGTTTTCAAATCCATTGATGTAGAGCACCCCATGTTCTTTTTCAGAAATAAGTAATTTAGTTATCAAAGAGCTAGGGACACTTTCAAAGTTGCCTCTGACAAGGATGCGTTCAGCACATTAAACACACCAAAATGTAGCAGAGCTAATTAAACCATCTGGTCTCTTACTAATGGAGGAAAAAGCTAACAGCAGCCATCCACTTGCTTGAGGACACAGCATCAGAAATATCAGACTCAGAGGATTAAGCAGTCCTGCCCACAGAAGGATTTTTACTGCATAAAAAGCATGACCTTTAGGTTACTATGCATTCAGTTTTTAATGCTACCACCTGAAGCCTCACCTTTTTGTGTTCTAGGAATGCCTTGCATTCATCTGTTCACAATAATAGAATTTAAAACACTACTGCAGACAATCCTTGGTCATTCACCTACATCCATACAACTCTGCCTCCATCTCAGGGTTCATTAGCCATCTAAAGACACAGCTGGAGACCTATGTAGAGATTGTTCTTTCCATCAAAACCTGTGAGAACCAACATCACATACATGGCTCAAATGAGGTCATGTGTTGGTACATTACACAATCTCAACTTTTATAATATTTCTTGCTGATCTAGAGTATTTAAAGGTTTATGTCTTATTAGACAGTGACAAGAGCTCAGATGTGCTATTAAGAATTTAAAACCCAGATATAGACCTTGCTGTTCTTTTGATTTGTTCTAATGCCTGAGTTTGTGTTATCAGTTACAGGTGGCTAATGTAGGCTAAACATAGGCTAATCTTCTCTAGAAACTGCTAAAAAACTACAATAAAGTGAGATTCTAACTTGGCATTCTGAATGGTAGCCTGAACAGCAATACACTATACAAAAGAAATCATCACAAGTATATCAGTGTTTAAGGAATTTTTATTAAACCAAGAATTTTATAATCCAAATTACGTTTCTTTGCTCAGCTATCAATTCTCACTGTCAACTAAAACAGTGGTGATATTCTGAGCTTTTCCACAGTAAAGAATTACAAAATTAAAGAAAGGAATGCTTTAAATTTTTGTACTGTGCTGAAAATTCTTTTCCCCCGGGTTTATAAAACATTAATTTGTATTTTTTATTTTACTATTTTTTTTTAAATTTTAAATCAATAAGTAATCTAGGACCAGCATTTGTTTTGCTGGTCCCGGCGTTGCTCTGTATATAAGCTTCAAAGTTTCCTTTCCTTTTTTTAGTTATTTTATATTTTGCAATGTTTTTCTCAATATTTAATAGTTTTTCCATGTTTAGATTTTTTTTTTCTTCGGTGAAGCGAAGTTCTAGATTGTAGTCCCGGATCTTTCTGCAACAAAAACAGTATTGTTAGGTTTTAAAACTGAGGCAGCACCTTACACTTTCTGACATGCTCTCTGCAACTGTTAAGCCTGACAGCACTTTGGGCTTTCACAGCCAATCACATCACATCAAAGTTCTTCACAGGCAGTGTAATAGACATGGAAGTGAAGTTTCCCAGGTCTGTGATACTTGGCAAGACAAAGCTGAGTCTAGACGTAAACAGTATTCTGCACAGCACAGCCTTGGGCAGTGGCTACCCAAAATAATTTGTTACTGTAACTAACTTGACTGCAGGTCACCTCTACTCTTAAGGCCAACATATCAAGCCTCAAATAACTACACTAGCAGTATTTTCAATTTCCAATTACTAAAACATCACAGAGCATACAGAGTTAACAATCTCAAAATCTGTGCATCTTAGTTTAGGACAGACAACTCATTCAGCACTTGTCTCCAGTGTGAAAGTGTCATTAACAAATAAAATAGGGGAAAAAGAAAGAAGCATGGAAAAAATATGATTCAAACTCTGCCTCCAAAAGGAAAGTTGCAGAAATGAGAAGACCAAGAAAGAAGAAGATTTAAAGTGATCAAATATTAAAGCAGGCATCTTCAACTGAGAGCTATTAATGTGGAAAGTAAGTTACTAGAAAGGCAAGACCTAACCAGACCAAACAGAGAACAGATACCTGTATCATCCCCAATTCCATGACTTTTTCCCTTTTTAAAGATACCACCTTTGTCTTTGTCATGCAAAATTAAGATACTAATCCCACAAAAGACAATAAAGAAAAAAAAAATCAGTATTTCAATGGACATCAAAGTTAAACTCACCAAACAGTGAAGACGATATAAAGTTTTTAATTACTGTCTAATTTTATATTTTGGCAAATATTTAAAAATTATAGTTTAAGTAAGACACTTGATTTCTAAGGAAAAACAGGGTTAGAGTAACACTAAGCTTACTACAATTCCACAAGTTCCTCTTGAGCAACAGTATGACTAGTACCATTTGACTACCTATTTTTGCACACATGCCTAGAACCAATTCCAGATAAATATGCAAGCCAAAATGTCAGTAGCGTTTTCTAACCTAGAGCTACAGAGCTGGACTACAGGGTTGAGCACAGAATTTGTTTACAACAGTGACTGCAGCTGCCTTCTATGGCTGCAAACAATACGGAGCCTGGCAGCACGCTACTTGTAAGGCCATGGACTAAAGACTATTTCCCCAGTCAGCCTACAAAACTACTGCGCTCAGAAAACTTACTTATTAAACACTTGGAACCCCAGTGGGATTATTAACTGCCTTTTGAGCAGCCTCTTTAGCTTGGTGGGCTTGTAGTACGGCTACAGCTTCATCAACCTGTTAGGTAAAAAAAAAAAAGATATTATTATTTTCTGTATATTTGAGTTAACATAACAGGTTAAATTAAACAATGTCTGCATTCTTAGAAGAGGATAACATTAAAGTTCCAGTTCAGGCTAATCTAAGTCACTGCCACCCTCTGAAAGAGGATATTCTTACTTCCTGCCCTGGGCCACTGTTGTGTTGCTGGTGCTCCACTGTGCCAGCATAAACACCAGTTAAATCAGTGTTGGTTTAATTGCTGAGAAAACTGGTCCCAGGCAAAAGTCCACCTACCTTCGAACGAAGAGACTCAGGAGACTCGAGCATGTGGAGGAGTTCAGAGTTGTCAATCTCCAACAGCATACCAGTGATCTTACCCGCCAGAGTCGGGTGCATGCTTTGAATGAGAGGAAATAGACGTTCACCTAGAAGAAAAAAAAAAAAAAGTATGACAAACCTCATTCTGACAAATGCAGCCTAGATTTAAGGAAAAACGGAAACAAACACCTTGTTCTATTGCTAAAGCCATTTATTCCGCCTTTTAAGACTGATAAAAGAGTACTTTGATTGTCCTTCCTGACACCATAGAGAAAAGTACCAGGTACTTACCTAACATCTGCTTTTGTTCTTGGGGAGGAGCAGAAGCCAACATGGAAGCAGTCAAGGGTTCCTGACCTTGCACATGGACAGCAGGCTGCAAATTAATTTAATACCACTTCAAAAATTAAATTCTAGTTCATAATTAGGTGCAGCTTTGAGTATCCAGTGTTCCACAACTCAGCATAAACAATGTCTATGCTGTCAGAAATATGGAAGAAATTACAACTATGTCGATTAAACAGTGCTGGTTAGAGCTGAGCTATGCTGGCGATCAGTATCAACAGCTCTGTTGTGGAGCAAACACGTGGAGAATTCAGGCTACCGCAACTAAGCAACTGGGAAACGTGAAGTAACACACAGGATCACATCTTGCCCCAGGTGAACTTAAAACATACTCAAAACCAACTCTGCTGCCATAATGCAGAGCCTGAATTCCAGAACAACAAATACAACTCTTAATCATAAGCACCCCCTCCTCCACCTTCCCCAGCAAAACGCAGAGGGGTCCCCCAGGTGACGCACCTGCTGCATGGCGACCTGGGGCTGCGTGTTGAGGTGCTGCTGGGGGTTACGGACCCCCGCCGCATACTTGTACTGGGGAACTGTGCGGACAGCAGGAGTGGCTGCAGTGGCAGCGGCTGCAGGACGTGGACCCATTGTCTGTGTGGATGTATTAGCTGGAAAAATATAACAATTCCACATGTGAGGAATTTGGGTTTTATTAAGCCTATGCTGTACAGGTTACCACCCCT